CATTCTCGATTAATTTACTATATCGAATTGTTTGTCCAGCTCTTCTGATTATTGGCACATGTGGATCAATAATGAGCCTCCGATGTCTTTATCATCAACGATGTAAACGACAAAATAATAATGTACTATGACGAACATCATAACCTAAAATAGATATATAAATAAAAAAAAATTTTAGATAATATTTCATTTGGCTTACATAATTTGATCAAAGAATCGGTCTCCTAAGCTCTAATGAATAATTCAGTTTTTATTATGGACAAAAGATTCCTACAATAACACATACTTTAAATAGATTTAGTAGTAGTGTTCATATTATTATAACAGCTACAATCTTCTTTAAAGTGTCTATAAATTAATTTATAGACGTTTACTTTACTCTTATTTACCATTTTTATGTATATCAATATGTAATTTGAAATTAATTTGGAATTTAAAACAATCAACAGTTAAAAGTACTGTTTCAAATCATAAACGAAGTATTCGTGTCACATCATCGGTGATTATTATATCAGTGTCATTTCTCGTACTTGTTATACCTGTCGCTGTTTTAGAACAATTTGAATTTTATTTTTCAAAATTTAAATATTATGAATCTCTGTTATCAATATCCTATTTATTAATGTATTTTAATCACTCAATTAGTTTTTTTCTATTTTTATTGGGTACACAATTTAGACAATCGGTTAAAAAAATTATTATGACACCTAGTGTAGGTATTGTCATGGTTGATACACCATATGGATCAAGAAAAAATATCAATGCCATTGTGGCTAAATTTCAAAGTTAGACTTTTCTTTTGTAATAAGTTTTTTTATTTAATAATTCCAAATAAAATATGTTTAGTAATTACCTGACTGATTCTTTCAATGGACATTTTTAACAAGGGTATCTCTAAGTTTTTTTTTGATATGTAGTAGAAAACCTAAGCTCTCTGTGAGATTATAATAGTGAGTTATTTTAGAAAAAGATGAACAACTTTCTATACCGAAACGATCGAGAGAAAAAGAGTGTGCTCTTTTTCAGATTAAAAAATATCTGAATATGTAATTAAATATGACTGACTTGATTTCACACCATGCAATACTGATAGACGTGAGTTTTTTCAACAATAATATTAGAAAATTAATATTTGCTAATTCGACCTATTTTAGTGACGAAACGAATCGTTAGAAATCGATTTGGGATACTCATTGTATATAAATTATCGTAAAAATCTGACATTGAGGTTTCAAGTTGTTAACTTTTAAAATCGCATAAAAAACGGTGAAAGTCAGTTTAATAGAGCGTATGCTAAATATCACAGTCTTAACTATTGACTTTTCAAGAAATTAATTAACCCTCGATTGTAAATCGCTTTCTAATGCATTCTCTGTTCTTTCTAACGGATGTTATCGCCTACATTTTTCTAATATATTAACATCACATTGTCAATTTGCAAGGGATCAAGGAATGTTCCCCCAAATGTTCGGTGCAGTATCTAAGCTATTAGAAACATCCAAACGTTAACGTTAAAATAAATCTTCGAAACTAATGAGTTTCTTAAGATAAAAACTAAAAAATTTGCTAAATTTTGTATTTTTTTTAAAGTCTAACTGAATAATCGTTAATCGCCCATCAAAGCGTGCAGGCATAATTATCCGAAGTGCTAGAAAAATATTAATTCGTTAGAATCTACTTATAATCTAAGCATCTCTGTTGCAGATTATTACACACTATCAACTGATCTCCCCTCCGTACAGATTGTTTAGAGAGTTTGAGAAATTTTTGCGGCTATTTTTATGTTAATAATGCTTACTTATATAGATTTTTATTTATTAAATACAACAAAAATACAGAAAGTTAAATATAAAATGTACCAAATATTTCGTGTATTAAATATGATGTTTAATTTTTGATTTTTGTCAAAATTATGATATAATACAGCCACTTCTTTCTTCCTAGAATATAATATCAAAAGAATAAGATTTTATATAAAGCAACTGTCATACTCTTACTTCTTCGATCTGCTGCGAATAGTGCATGTTGTTTGTCTTGCGATAGTGTGTTTGTAGATCATTATCACCCTGAAATGTCACAGTTTTTTGTCCAGTAGGAATCCATTCTTGATCACTACCAGCAACAATTAAGCCATATTTACTTTCTTGAACTGGTTCTAAATTTTGATCACCCAATGCTTGATCGAACCATCGTCGATGAGTGAAGATACTTGATTGACGTTCGAGTGATGATTTATTATGAGTATTTTTAACAATGTAGTTTTTGTTGTTTGCAGTCTTCTTAAGATCATTATTTGTGCCTTTGACAGTGTTCTTCGGAGCTTTGGACTTTTTAGCAGTTTTATTTAAACTCTAAAAGCAACATGAGAATATTGAATGCTGTTCTTTCAGCTTTTCATAATATTACAGTTTGATCCGTTATATTCTTACTTTTGGTAATGTTACAGGAGTTCTTTCAGAAACTCTTGGTACGGTTGAATTAGTTAGTATTTGTGACCCTGGATTCAAAATGGGAGATGATGCATCATTCACCTGTGCCGGTAGAGAGCGAGGATCATTAATAGTTGCTAAAGTGAATTCTGCTGGTTGGTGATGCACGGGTAGATTTGAGACAGGTGACCATTGTGTTGTTGCTATAACAGGCTGTGGTAAATAGTAACCATTTGCTATTGGGTTCATCAAATTTGGTTGATTATAATAATATGGCGGCATGGGCGTTGTCTGGTATGGTAATGTGATTAAAGGCATTGAATGATTATTCATATCTGCTATTTGACCCCGATACATTGAACCGCCATTTGATAATATCAACGTACCAGATGAATCATTCATATCTAAACAAAGAGAACGATTGAACCTCAAGATTCACTGAAATGTTACCGCATTTTACTTCTGCCAAGTTGTACGTGCTGTTGTGGAGCTTTTCTTCGATTTAGTTGCTGAATTTCCCCATTCGGCATCATGTAGATGTTGTTAACCGGTTGCTGATAATTAGCAGTATTTTGGCGTGTCGTTGATTGAGGTATTGTATCGTAGGCGAATGCATTTGACACTTCAGGTTTAATAAGTCTTCCAGAAGATGTTCGATAATAGATGGCTTCTTGAATCATATCGTAGTCTGCAGCTGCCGGATCGTAAGATAACGCTAGTTTCGTAGCCCTCGGTTTCATTGCATTGCTTCCCGTTGATTTCAAAATCGATTTTTTGATTACAGGTGGTGGCATTTTCACTATCGGTGGGGCTTGAGGCTGTGAAGCCGATGTTGGTTCAGTTGAACGAAATGTGGTGACCATAGATCGTCTTCGTTTTCGCTGTTGATCCTCGAACAGCTCATGTTGATGTTCTTTACAACGACACCATTTGTAGAGTAAATGATTCGCTTCACAGGAACTACACTTCTTCACATGATGAAGTTCACATGGTTCCTCATAGGCTTGTTCAAGTGCTTTCACTTCCCAATGACGTAAAGTATTATGCTAAAATTTTAGAAGAAATCCAAACTGATGCTTCGAAAAATGTGAAACATGAATGCAAACCTCATGAGCATTAACAGTAAGTCGCTTTCTTTGTTTCTTCTTATTCTTTTTTGGTTTTTCTTCTTGATAGTTATGTCCTGTGTACGACGGTTTTACTTGATCCAAATCTTCAACAGTCAAATCTTTATTTTTCGTTGTTTTTGCTGTTGATGGTTTATTTTCTTTTTGTTCTCGTTTCGTATGGTGATCTGGTTTAGTTACTTTACTTTTTATTTCATTGCTTCGTTCTCTTGCTTTAGGTTGAGTTTGGTTTTGTACTTGTATAGCTGTTTCTTGTAAATAGTGTTCAAAATTGAGATGTGATCCATCCATAACTTTTCCTTCAAATTCACCGGCTGAATTGATTTGGATTGTGGACATCTCAGGGTCGCTTCGTTCTTTCTCTTCTTCCTCATGTGTACTTTCAGCGGTGTCACTATTTTCGTCATCTTCATCGTCGGTTTTCGTGTTATTCGATTTGTCAGAGAGTAGAGATGTTGTATGCTCTTAAAGTTAAACTCAGTAAAAACATCGTCGTTGTTCAATATGAAGGATGAAGAAATTTACCGTATAATGGTGATTTCAAACGTCTTACGTTATAAGACGGTGCACTGTTTGGTATTAGTGATTGTTTTTCACTTTTATTGTTCTTTTTGTTTTCAAGACGATTAACCTAAAATCGGTCTGACAAAAAGTATATTGCGTGCGACATTTGAGTTATTTATTACCTGTTTTATGAGCATATCAGCCAATGGTTCCGGTAGCGCAGTTGGTCCAAGAAATCGTGTAGGAATACCGTTAGTCGGTTCTATTTTGATCCTATAACGATAGAAATTGATAAAGCAGAACGGATCTATAAGTAATAAATTAATGTATGGCTAAAAAATTTAGATAATATCACTTAATATATTGTTCATCATGAGATTACACTTTGCTAACGATAGCAGCCAGCATAGTATAGGAAACATAAACTAAAGAACCCTGAAAAATTATACATTTTTAGATATGCAAGGATTCTGGGTCGGTTTATTTAAAACAAGAACAGAGGTTTTTAATGTATTTAAGTTTTTAAGATGTAATTTGAGTTATAAGATCTAAATTTTCAGCACATCCTCCTGAGACAAAATATTACAATGGCGCGTTTTACCTAACAAAACTAACTTTATTTGTTCCATCTTCTACGGGACCATTATTGTTGCGGTCAGGATAATGATGACGATGATTGTGTTCTTCATGTTTTTCATACTGAAGAGCTGTAATATGATTTTTTGAATTATTAATATGGTCAGGGTCATAACAACACGAATGATATTTGTGTAATTGAAAATATTTTGCACCTTTTATTTCAGGAAAATAGGATTGCAATAACTTTTTTACATCTTGTCGGCTTAACTTTTTCTTCTTACTCAATTCACTGATTTCTTCGTCTGACAATGGTTTTTGTGACGTTGAACATCGATGCTTTGTCTCTGAATCAGATTTATTTTGAACACCAATGGGTTTGACGTAGATATGAGAATTACGACATACAAAACATTCAGCGTCATGCTCCTGCTGTTTACGAAGATCTTCATCGGACAAGACTGTTTTAAGTTTTGTTGTTGTGTCAACCATAACTATATTTCTATCACTAAATCAGTATTATCCACCGATAAATCGAAAAATATAATTCAAAATTATACAGGTACACCTGTCAGCCAATTCTTTTCATAATCAAATACCATAATTGAGAAGGTCGTTTCTGGCATATATACCGTCAATTACTATTATTGACTCTATTCAAGAAGTTCAAGTCTAACAATTTCAATTCCACAGGCTACTCAAAGCTTATAAGTAGATTATCGTTGACCAGTGGTAGAACATTGAGCTTTATGTAACATTGGACGCTTGTTGTAGTCAAACAGATTTGAACTTATCGTACATACTACTCTCTTACTGTTTTTTATCCTTTTGTTTGTTTGTTTGAATGGAGAAACTGATTACCATTGGATTGAAATAAGCAACGTATCTGAAGTATTTCAAAACGACTCATTAGTGAACTAAAAACGCTTAAAAAAACTTTTTATCACTTAAGGGAAAAATATTTCATATTTATTTTGTAATTAAATAATTGACTATTCTCTTACTAGTCAAAAGACTGACAGTCTGTTGTTTGCTTGTTTATTTTAAAAAAAAAAGAGTGTAGTAGCATGAAGATGTCAGAAATATTACGCCGCGTTACATTTATTTACTGAATGTTTTTTTTTGCATATCATCGAAAACTTTGTTGTAATTTGAATGCAGTGTACTTCGATAGCGTATGTCCATTTACTAGTTATAACCCCAGGTAAAAAAAGAGCTGACTTAACCTAGGTTAACGGATACATTTATCTGGCTGTAACTAGTTCTAACCTAGTTTAAGCAAGGTCAATGTACCCGCTAATCTGAATTAAGCCAGTACCAAATAAACTTTTTTGCTTGCGTGACAGAGTTACAATCTGGTGTGCAATGATGTTATGAACATCCAAGATATTCGAGACAAGTAAGTATATCCATATTTTCAAACGTACTGACAGATGAAATCGACGAATCTATTATTATATTCATATTGAAAAACACCCATATTATCGTTTATAATGCCAGATATATGCAGATACATTCGATATTTAAGCATTACACGAGTTTTTCGATGTATTAGTATTTCGCAATCATTGAACTCTCAGAGTTTCTCGACTAAATCACATCTCATCAAATACAAGATAATATACGATTAGAAAAATGTGATTTTTGAATGTTAGATGTTTCACTTCATTTGTTACTGCACACTGTGTGCGGATCACGCAATTTACTTGCTCATTTATTGTGAACTCTTTGTATTTATATTTTTTTATACAAATTGAGTAATCAATACTACTGTTCTGTTTACTGTCATGGTGAAGATGTTTTTGTTTGTCGGTGAACAAGTTTAGTAACAGCAAAATGTTCGTCCACTTGAATTTATCGAAGAACTATATTTCTTAATTTTGAAGAACTCCTAATTCTTTTTTTCTTATCATACATTGTTGTTTATATCGACATATATCATGTATAACTTACATTAAAAAGTAAACTATATACAAGAATTATGGTTTTCTAGTAATGTATCTGGTGGACTCCAGCGGCAACAACGGATTCTTTATTCACAATTAAACCAGTATCAACTGAAAAGTCTTATATACCCAGAAGGAACCTATTGCCAACTGAGTTTTCTGTTTTGACGACTACAGTATTACTGATATCATGTATGATAAATCTATTCTTTGGCGAGACTAATGATGCTCAATTCTACGCTTCAATAGTTTTCTACTAAATCTTCTTACTAATGGGTGTGCCCCTTTAATCAGGGCCGCAAATAGGAGCCGAACATTAGGGGGGTGTAAACCAAAATTTCTCTCTGAGGTAGTGTGAAATTGATAAAAAAATTTTGTGCGAGGAGTAATGGATAAAATAACAACAGTTTTTTCAATTTGAATATAATAATAGATTCGTCGATTTCATCTGTCAGTACGTTTGAAAATATGGATATACTTACTTGTCTCGAATATCTTGGATGTTCNCCCCCCCCCCCCCCCCACACCCTCCCGTTATTTGCGCCCCTACCTTTAATTCACTCTGGTATGAAAGAATCTTACGCAGAAAAAAACTGCATATATATTCGCACATACCTTCATAAACTGCAATCAACGTCAACGTTTAAGATTTGTTAAAACTAATAGTTATATGATATTTAATTTCCGCATTGTCATTTATTGTTGTCTTTTTGTTTCGATATTCGTGTGCATCGTGAAATAATGATTTCGATAACACTAGTAATCAGAACATTGAATGGCTTCGTCACTTGTTCTCACATAACTGGCATTCATGGTGCTCCATTGATCTGATGATCAATGATGAACAAGACGAATGAGTAAATCACTATCACATGTCTGTTGATAACCTTCCATGTGCATTTCAGGTTCTCTTCTGTTATCACTACCGCGATTAAGCTGACCTTGATGTTCTGAGTAAATATGAGCATAGTGTATATTGTTTAAACGCGATTCCATTATATTCAAGGAGGAAAGACTTTCTTGTATTCTTATGTGTATTACTACTGCCATTTACGCACAACTGTGATTTTTATTTTGCGTCAATAGAAAAATTGTTGGTATATAAATGAGACATGCACCCGGTATAACCGATAAGTTTCATCTTATTTCTGAAACGGGTTGCATAAAACGTGTGTATATTAAAATTTTTCTAACCACTGAGTTTTGTCGAGCAAACATTTTTCTACAAGATGGCGGAAGCCATATTTTCTATTTGTCGCAATCGCTTTTCGACAAAGAATCCTAAATCGGTTATAACCGATTATGGAACTTTTAAGAAATCTTTTTTTATAAGTAATGAATCCAAGAGGAAGAAACCCATTTGTTAGAAAATTTTTAGACAATCAATTTTCACTGAGAGAAATCTTTTGCGTAAAAAGCGCATAATTTTAGTCGATTATAACCGGTGCATACCTACTCTAAATAGAGAAGTACTGCTTTCAAGCTAAAGTACAAGTTGGACAAGTTTTCTAAATCTCTTACAGTTCATAACATTCAAATGTCTTAATTATTTTGTTGTACTGCGTGTAAATGAAATCTTTTTAGATGTATAGAAATATTTATAGTCCTAAATGTATACACTCTAAAAAATGTGGATAGATCAAAAAACAGAAAAGGGTTTTACATTTTGAGACGACCACGAACCTTTTTTGGTTTATGAAAATAGTCTAAAAATGAACAAAAAACCTTTCAAACAACCCATAACAGTAGATTAATAAACAATTTACTGTTATGGGTTGTTCGAAAGGTTTTTTGTTTGTTTTTAGACTATTTTCATAAACCAAAAAAGATTCGTGGTCGTTTCAAAATGAAAAACCCTTTTCTGTTTTTTGATCTACCCACATTTTTTAGAGTGTATATACTGCTGAACAATATGACTGGTACAGGCTTGTTTAGAAAGACAATTTGTTATGAGTGTACAAGGTTAGTGAAAATCGTGATATTCGTGGAAGTCTTATTAAAACTTTGTCTACTACTGACCTCGTATATGATTTTGAAGAAAATAAAATGTATAGTTCTGTGATGGTCATATGATGAACATTCCTTCACATTTGGACGCCATCGTTTTCCCATCTGGTATTAGATTCTTATATTGGCTCTTAAGTGCATTGCTATAGCAATTGTTGGTCCTCTATGTGAATCAATCAATAAAAGATCTACATAAATTAAATCAAAAATATAACTGTAGCAATAATATAGTCTTAGACACGAAATTACGTTAAATATGGCGTCCAATTGCCCGAGTTTAAAAACACATGAATAAATTTTTATAGTCCAGATTTAAAGTAAATTTATATTATAGATGACTCAGCCTGACCAAAGTTGTTTTTCATTTGAATAAAATTTGACGTGGGTTATACGTGCCAAGGTAAAAACTTTCTGCTTTTCTAGTGAATGTTTGACATTCCACTGTTTAATTGTTAATTCAAAATGTATACAGCAGTAAAATATTCTGTTATTTGCAAATCACGAAACAACGTTTAGTAAATAATATTTTTCGTTATGATATACAAAAGCGAATCCGATCTGATTTACTGAATTCAAATCAGCATTTCAATCTATATGAAATACTCTATTTTTACTGAAAAATACGTTTTACGTTTTAATCTTATGATCGAATGGGGCGAGGAAAGTAAGCGCAAAATAAACAAAAGCTACTGTGTTTTTATCCGAAAAAAGGTTACTAATATGAACATAAAATTACTCAATAAATATATAAAAAGAAAATAAGTACACATTGATGTTTAGTTAGTCTATTGTCGATCTTGCTGACAGCATACTTGATATATTTTATCATGGAATAATCTTTAATTTTTTTAATCTATCAAATGTTCTCAAATAAGAATCGCCTGTATCAACATATTTGTTCCACCCCAATTTACGAGCTTTTGACATATCACCATATTCATCGAATGCTCGTCCAACAATCGCATCTGAAATTTACATTGAGATTAATATAAAAAATTTCTCTCATGTGCTTCATATAACTTACCAGCAAAATCCCACGTAGCATAATCAAATGCTGATTCATCAAGACTATATTTATGTGCGATTCTTTTCCAAACATCTTTTTTGTCTTTCATGTATTCAACTAAAGGCATCTGACATTTTACTTCACCATTTTTTGGAGGTGGATCTTTATTCGATGGCTCACCAACAGGAATATCAAAATATCTAAACATCAGCAACAAGAAAATGATAGATGTAATTTACTATCATTACTATAATTTACTTTGCAATTTTAGGCCATAATACTCGAAATTTATTATAATCACCATTGTGGATATTAAATTCTTGATTTTCAGCTTCTTTCGTAACAGATGCCCATAATTCAAATTGTGCATCATTGCAAACATCAGAGTGATCAATCAATGAATCCCATTGTACTTGATTACCAGGAAATATTAGTGGCTTACCTAATTCTTTTTGAATACACGCGTAAAGAGCTATACTCACAGCAAAATTCATAAAATTACCTAAATAATCAAAGCGTATGTGTAAAACAAAATAACTATAAAACAGCTTCACTCACCCTTGGAAGCACCAATGATGATGTTTGGTCGGCTAATAATATAAGAAAAATTACTTTTCTTTGCTTCTTCTTTTAGTTTATCTTCTTGTGTATAATAAAAATTTAGTCCTTTATGACGAGGTGTACACTCATAAAACGGTCTTGGTGCTAAATATTCGCCACCTTTATGTGTACCATAATACTGAAATTAGATACATCATTTTTATCGCTGTGTCGTTCAGTCAATCATCTTTTGGTTAGATTTTTCAGACACGCTTGTAATGAAGGTGCTCCAGGATATCTTGAAAGTTTTCTACGTTTTTTCCTCTTTCTACAACTGTTGTACTATTACCATTAGAATAATAATTTAAACCAAATATAATAAAAATAATCTCGATACGTAAGTTAATCAACTCAAAATTCAATCGATGTAACGCGATCATTCAAGAAAAAGTCTTCAATTATCGAACAGATAATGTTTCCGAAAAGAATATACCTTATAACCTGTTTGTAATAAAAAGACTTGTAAATTTTCTCTTGCCACTTTTTTTGTTGCTTCAAGTGCTTTACAAAGTAATTCTTTATTAACATTGTCTAATTCTTGTTCACTATTTTTAGCTACATACGTAAAATGATAGGCATGTGTCACCTCTTGTCCACCAACTTTTTCTAATTCTTTACATAAATCTTCAACACTTGATTTCAAAACATCAATGGATACAAATTGAATCCGGTCATCATTATTTTCAAACTGTATCGGACGACGTGATAGAGCAATAATTTTTTTCCATTCATTTTTAGGTTGTTCAACCAGACATTCTACCATGGCTACTGATTCCATTGGCACCCCAGATAAGAGCAGTTTTAGTTGAAGTCATGTTTCTTGCTGACAAGTTAGTTGAAATAGGTTGATAGATAAAACGTTGAATGTAAAGTGATTGCACATGTATTGATATATGTTTAGTGAAATATACATAACTTTTCTGTTCTGCTTCTGTAGTCACACTCTCTGAAACACGTGTTTATCTAAACTAGTTTCATCCTCTCGAGACTGTATCATGTATCCTTCTCTATCACACGTGTTATGTCTCTACTCTAAAACACAGTCAGAGCGCCAAGCCTAAAATGCATAATAGAATAACGTTGTCCTCAATTCAAAATCTTAAATTTTGCCCACATTATGTCTGAAAGACTGTATCTCAATCAGAGAATTTATCCCTAAAATATTTTCTTAATCAAGCGTTTCCTTCTTTAGTAGGTCGTCTATGCATGTGACGATTGGCTAAAAAAATGAGCCTGTTGATAACGCAACTAAGTCACAGAAATCAACCATCACAAGTCGACAATCTTGAGATCATTTCTGACAGAATCTTGATTTCAGGTCAATCTTATCAGATTCTGATCCTATACAATCAATAATAAGATTCAGATTAGAATGACCTGATCTGAAAAATTTTTCAAGATTCATG